GATCAGGATATGCGTCTTGCCATCTTGGCTGACTATCGCGTGCTTGCTAATAAAGTAAACCGACAGTTTCTCAGCAGGTATCCCTTTGAGGAGGTCGCTAACGCCGTAGTCGACTTCGGCCATCCCCAGTTTCGCCTGGCGAGGTGGAAGTTGCAGGATATCAAACAGCATGATCTTGCGCTCCCGGGGTCAGGGCAGAAGTTCGGTGATTTGGCAGCCTTGCTTGACACTTCTCAAAACACCCGAGAGCAAACTTATAAATTATGATCATCATTTTATGCCTGGAGGCGTTAGAGGCAAGATGACTAGCGATGCTGCCTTTATTAATGCGCTCCTTATTAACAGGAGCCGCATCACTAGCAAGTGTATCGCTATGATGAACGCTCGAGGCCTTGTTTGAATCTTTCATGGACATGGAATTTTGGACGACCATTTGGGATAAGGCGGCGGCTGCTTCGGTGATAAGAGATCAGGAGAAGCAGCTTGATCGTTTGCAGGATGATGTGGTGCAAAACAAAAGGATACCGAGGATACCGAGGGCACTCTCTCTCATACTGTCGCGCAGCTGAAGGTAAACAAGCTCGACCTCCATGGCGTTGATGACTGTTTAGGTGGTTTACCGGGAATTGCTACAGGAACGCTGCCTGATCTCGTACGACAGGACGTTTTGGTGACGCGGTTTGGGGAGGGTGCGAATCTGAAGAATGGCAAGATACAGATTCAGAGTCTCTGGATTGAGCGGGCTGAAAACGAATGGTATCATATGAGCAGCGGTAAACTGCGAGAGGCTTGGGGTTGGAACTTCCATCTCTTCAGGCGGGGTGATGGCACCTCTCTTCTCACTCGCTATGCCGCGGTTCCACGGTTAGTCTCGGACCACCGGGGCACGTACGGATACAAGTGGAGACGTACCTATAGGGTGTGTTATCTTGAGTTCCCCTGATACATATCATCAGCATGGCGTTAGATTAGTGTATGACCCAAGCAGTCGATATTTGGCTCCAATCAAGGAAACCTCCTGTGACGAATTTTACGCGCTTTCGCTGCCAATACGATGCCGAGCAAGATCCACCGAGCTCGATCTCGGTATGGGAATACGCTTTGACCATCCCCGTACGCTATTGGAGACCGTTCTCACCCAAGCTCAGGCCGCCAAGCGGTTTGAGTATCATCATTCCGATGGCGCTGTGAGGAGGGTGAGACGCCCTCCTACGCGTATTACTCTGGAAGCGGAGAGGGCCCGGCGGATGGTCTCCGCTTGGCCTGGTTCTCAGCTCGATTCGAGTTCTTCGCATGGGGATCGCGGCTGCTGTAAACGATATTGCGACTGTCCGGCTGAAGGTGAACGATGTCGAGACGACAACTTTCGAAGTGCGCAAGGCACGCGGGCAGGTTTCAGCCTTCACAGTTTTCGACTCTGCATTAGAGGTTGACGCGGGGGCTGTTATTTATGTTTTCTTCAACAGACGCTACCGTTGGTTGTATAGTGACATTGCTATTGGAGCAGTATGACCTTGTGTGAGCCCTCCGCGTCCTTTCTTCACCTCCGGTATCGACGGCGCCTCTCTATCCTACGCTGTCTACTGCGAGCGATGCTGGAAATACGTACCGATTACAGAAGATTTCAGAGGTCGAAGCTCGCTCGCACACGGAAATAAAAGCCCGGCAAATGCTCTACAAAAAGTACAAAAGAGCTGTGAACGGGTTAGACGGCGCGGGCAATGCCCCGTCTGCTATCACTGTGGGTAGCGCTGTTAGCGGCGCGGCCGTACTCAGTACCGTCGTCTTAACTCTCGTCGGGATCGCGCTCGAAGGCCTAGCAGCTGTTTGCGGCACGGCCACTTTCGCTGGTCGGGTAGTGAGCCGCAGATTGGACAAGAAAGCTGAAAAACACGATCGCATATGGACGTCCGCCGAGACCGTGCTCCGAACAATCTCGCTGATCACGAGCCGAGCGCTTCGAGACGGCAACTGCAGCGAAAGTGAGTACCAGCTCGTTTTGGGCAAAGCAGAGCGCTTCGCCTCGTTGAAAACGACATTAGAAGCCAGACAAAGAGAGCTCTCCGCTAACAGACGCGAGAGCTAGAAGCACAGCTGGACGCTGCACCTGCAAGCGCGCGTGAGGAGGGCATTCAGCTCGGGCGCATGGATGCTCTAAAAAAAATCCATCGTCAAGTGGCGTATGGCGATTCACGCTAGACATAAAGTTTGTGCGCCATTGACAGTGTTGCATCATCTTGGTGTGACAGTTTTCATCACCCACCCACGCCAGGGGCTACAAATCGACCGAAGCTGTGATCATAATAAATCACTGCAGTGAACATCGCTTTTGTTTGCGAGGGAAAACCAGTAGTTGAATAAAACGGTGTGTATGAAATAGCGTCAGTAGTATAGAGGGTTTGGCATGTCAAACTGGCGCTATGAGCGTCATGAATCTAGCCGAGCATTTCAATGGTCGATGGCATAATCGTGCGTGGTTGGCTGGCAAAGCTATGAAATTCGTTTGCCACTTGTTTGACGACAGCGGCGGGGATTTGGAATGACTATATAAGCATGTCGAGTCGCCTGGGCACCAAAAAAAGCTAGTTGAGGAACTGATGAGATCTAGGGGGTGGCCTCACCGCTTCCTCCGGGCTGCTCCCGAGGAACTGCAACGGCAAGTTGTGCTTGCGAGGGAGCGAGTAGACGCCCACCTCCGCATTTTGGACTGGGTCCTCGAGGGAACCCTCTCGACAAGTACTAACTAACTAATAGACCCCGACGGCCGGCCGCGCGTGGGCGGAGGGTGGCCGGCCGTCTTTGGCTTCTGCTGTTGTCAAGGTTTGGCCTTCGCTGTAATTATGCTAGCATAATTACAAGAAGTACGTACGCGAACTAGGGTTGGGGCGCTTAAATTTGCGTATAAAAGGTATCAAGGTGTGAGGTGTGCTAGCGGCAACGCTGTGTATACTACTAACGGATGTTTTTCATACATTTGAAAGAAACACAGAAAGAAAAAACTTTTTTGTTAGAAAAACTACATCCGTTGCATCTATAGCATAAAAAGTTTACTTTTGGTGCTCAGACGTAACAATACAAGCGTTACTTAGAAAGATTCTTAAGTTTTCTTGGTACCTCATACGCTGCTCGTATGTATGAAAATTTTTGCGATAGCTATAAAAACTCTCAAGATGCAGTCTTAAAACAGTTGTTGCAGACTAGTCATCGGTAGACACATCAAATTCCTTGATAAATAATTTGGACAAAGGCAGGATAAAAGGCAATTAGCTACATATAGTCGAGCTATAAATTTCGAGCCTACGACATTCAAAAGCACAAATTTTCAGTTATCATAAGGTAGGTTTAAACTTACAACTGATTCAATTGTCCAAATTCTTATATCAATAACTGAATATTTTTCCGTTCTTTTTTATTTACTGTATAATGATTTGACACTTCAAAGATGCATATGGCAAATTCCTCGTTTAGTCACATGACACAATTTCTGTTGATTTGGCTGGTACATCCAAACTATACATAAAGTTTTAGCTTAATCCAAACTGTGTTGTGCATGTATTTTGCTTTAAGTGTTTTGTAAACTGAATGCACATTATGATATTGAATGATGACCGAGGTTCTACTTGACTCTTTGTAAATTCAATCTGTTTATGATTTCAAATTTATTTTAGTTCTTCATTTTATCTATTTAATATTCATCTTCATCAGACTTCCATTCTTTTTTGCATTCAACTTTTTTCGAACTGATCTATTTCGCGTCAATTTTGGATTATCTAAAACTATACCAAGCGTGGATTTTGTCAGATACACCAACGTTAAATTAACCATTTCATGTATACAATCATAAGCTTTTCTTGGAAAAAGTTTTCAAGGTAGAAGCAAATGTTGGCTGAGTAGTTATTCATTTTTCTTTGTTTTGATCTATCAACTTGTTTACTACAACACAACACATCTAGCCTGATAACTAAAACAAGTCTTCATAGCAATGTATAATAACAGTATTCCAGCAACTCTCTTTTTAATTTTACTTCATACATTTTGAAAATAAGAAAAGTCCGTCTCCATTTTATGAGATTTAACTCAATGCATAATATATAAAGGAGTTTTTCTTAATACAAGATACTCACGCCTCTAAGAGAAATAGCTTCTTTGCAGCGTGTGGAAAGCGAAAATGTAAAGAAAAAAACATAGCAAAATATATGCCATGTAACACAAAATACTGAATATTTAAAAAAGATAAATAATATTATTTTGCATGTGTCATAAAGCAAACAGCAAAACGCAAAAAAAACGAAACAAAAAACCATGTGCGAATGTTACTAGGAGAAAAAAACACTCAGAAAGTGAGTTTGATTATCATGACAACACAATTTCAAACAATTTATTTTTTATTGAGGAAAATTAGAGAAGTGAAAGCCAACCCGTAGAAAACAAGACAAGAAAGAAAAGAAATATTCGTTTCTGGTCAAAAAATGCTATACAATAAACCTTTTATTAACCTTGCTTGCTCAGTCTTTACTGAGTAATATCGGACCTGGTCTTTTGTACAAGCCTCCCCAAGAACTCGCTCTCAGTTAATAAAGGTTTTTTAATTTAGATAACACGTTCCTTCCAGTCATAAATAACTCAATGGACCCAAAGGTCGATTTCAATCATTCAATGCATTCAACCACCAGGTTGAGAGTTCAATCCTTGGTCAAGTAAAATTGGCCTGCGAGAAGGTGCTACTTATAATGTGGATGAGCTCGTCAACATTAAAATGAAGTTTTGCAGATTTCCCCCCGTTGCTACGGTATCAAAAGTGGTTACGGGGCTCAATACTGAAAAAGAACGGGATAATGGAGCACAGTTTATAAAATTGGCCTGGATAAGCTAAATTCAAAATAACATGCTCCAAAACTGTCACGTTACAAACTCCGATAGGAGTTACGTTGTATGGAATAACATTGTAAATTGATTTCGTACGTGTAAGCAAATCACAATAAGCATTTACTACACCAATGTTTTTTTTCCATCCTTCTTTATTGTTTATTTTTTCTACCAAAACGTTTTATAAAAGACAAGCTATAGAAAGTTTTTCTGCTACTAACTTTAGATATATATATGTTTCACACTAACATATTTAAACTGTTTACGAGGAAAAATAAAAGACTTCTACTTCATCTGGAGTGAACTTGTATGAACCGGCTAGTAAATTCTTTATTTTTGTATTTCCGTAAGAATACCCAGATGGGGCCCTGTACGAATAACCAAAGTTGGAGTATGAACTGGAACTAGACTTGGCATTGTTGGCAATGTAAATATCAAAACCTCCTCCAAAAACGGGTCCATAGCTACTGCTTGAATACATTGCGTATTGTGGTCGCACTGAGGGGGATGTTTTGAATGGTGCAAGACCATCTTTGTTTTTAAATGAGAAAATGAAACAATTTGGTGCTCTTTTGTAGCCACTCCCTAGAACAAGATGAGAATTTATAAATAATGAAAGAATGACCTTAGCTTTAAAGAGAAATAAAGATATTTATACTTATGCATGATTAATTTAATTTGAATGACTGTAAGAAGGCTAAAGTCTACAGGCTCGGGCTTTCGAAATGCCCGTGGCATCTAGAAATAACTAGTTTTTACTTTTTGCTATTCCAGCTTAATGTGCTTAATTTAGACCTATTATGATGTTGAAAACCGTACGATGTACTACTTTAAAACTCATAAGCTGGCGAAGTAGTGAGTTTTCCGAGTTTCATCTTTAAAAATTTTTCCGAATTGTGTACGTCACCAGTTGCAAACTCAAGCCGGGATAGTTAAAATCAAAGGAGAGGGAGGAACGCAAATGTCATCAGGAGGCTGAAATTATTAGAGTGATAAATATCATAAAGCCTACAACTTTGTCTTAGCATACATCCCCCGTTATTAGATAGTGGTCTACCACAAAGCCTATAAGTAGGTAATTTTGTTAATGAGCTTCATTGGTGATTTTTTTGGACACAATACGCAAAAATGGATCCCACATAAATCAATCATGTATTCGCTCAAGTTATTATACACAATAATGTAACTCGCATTTAAAACTGTTCAATAAACTTGACAGTTTTAGGCCTCTGGGGTTTATTAAGGTTTGTACAATATTATTCAATATATTGTTCAAGCAAAACAGGTTAAAACTTGAAACTACTGTATGTGTCATACACTGATTTTCATTTTAAATTTTGCCACACAAAAGCTTAGTAAAGGCAAAGCGACAATAACTGAGTTATAATACCTAAGAAAACGCAATCATGTTTTCCATAAGGTGCAACGAACATGGACAAGCGCATGACTAGCTGTAACGAGTTGGACAAATAGCTATTGCAGAGTACATAATCATGCGCAGATTTCATTTTAATGCATACATAATTTTTGTGCGCTAAATTTTTTGGGACACTAGATAGAAAACTAGACTGTTAACATATGCATTTGCATAGCACACGCTTGGGCGTCTTGAGAAAGTCACTATGGTCTATTTTAAGATAAAACAAGAGACTACACAAATCTCTTGGGAACGTACTTTGCCCTATCATAGAGTGGTCAAATTTTTACAACGGATTATTTTATTAGCCTCTTGTAAAAATATAATTTGTTATAATATGCAAGCAAATTTTAAGAAGAGACGAAAAACGGTTGTTTGTTTTGATGCAATTACGAAATTTGGTTATTTATTTATGGAACAAGTTATAAAAAGGTAATGGAATAAATGATAAAAAATTGCAATAAAATTTCTGAATGACAAAAAATACATTTGGTGCTCCATAGCTAATTTGAAGCATGTCATTTGTACGCATACATATGTAGTTTTTACAAGGAACTTCAAAACTATTCCACCTGCTTAATATGCCTTATCAAGATGCGTTGATAGTTATTATCAAACATATTCACGATAATATTGAACTTTTCCTATAAATGGACCTTCTGCTCATAGTAGTTTCTTTTATTAAGTTTTCACATTTTATTGGCTAAATATACAGCTAATGTCAGCATAATTCTTTCAAGCTTACCTCCCCAAGATTTTGATGCAAATCCTCCAAATACATAAGATTTACTTTTTATCAAGACCAATGTTGGTCCCTTTGAGTCACAGCGACTGTGGAATGTGCTTGCCCCCATCCATTTGTTGTTGCTTGGTAACAGCAGAACGGTCTTTTTCTTTTCAAGTTCGAAGGAAGCCACTTTTTCAGGTTGTATAACCCAGTCGTGTTTATATTGTAGAATGCTGGAATCTTTGAAGATTTCTTTAAATGTAAATAACACAAAACCATTTTTAACATGTTCTGGTAAATTTTTAAAGACTTTAAGCTGGAC